AGTCAAACTTGACTTCTCTGCAACTGCTTGAGACTGAGCTGTCACTGTCAGGTGCTCCATAACACCATGTGCTTTTTCCCCAAACTGTGGCACGATATTGGGACTTCTGCTTTGGCCATCATAGAAATACACTCCTTGCATGTCTTATTCATGGTGGCTGATTCATTAAAGGCTAACAGAATGCACAAACGTGTCTTTTTCCAAACAGCAATGCAGAATGTGGTCTGCTTCCAAGATCTACTTCAAGCTCCATCTGCTCTATTAGCAAGAAGGATATTCAAAATATTTAACAAGTAGTTCAGCTCAGGCACCAGCCAATCATAATGGATACTGACTGTCGCACTGTGATTGGGACTGGTTCCGGAAGTCCAGGCATCATCACCTTGTTTACTTATTTAAGGGATGGGAGCAGGATGGGGAATCCTGGGGAAAAGGGCCTAGTTAGCTTTAGTAGAAGAGACAGCTTGGTGGGCTCACAGTAGCAACTATCTATTTAGTTAGCTTGCATGGAAGCATTTCAAACTCTAAGCAATTGGTACACCTCTTCTGTCACATATTAGCTGAATATCCTTGTTGGCGAGTCATTTCCTTCTGCAGCGTCCTATAAGGACATTTCATCCCTCATGTTGCCACTTAATTTTAATGTTTTAGACTTAATTGATTACATTTACATGTGTAAAGCCCTGCTTCTAAAACTAGACTAAGCTCCTAGGAAACAGAAGCCATAGATAGTCTAACTTCCAATCTTTGTCTTCAAATAAATCATCCAAAAGTTACATAACCACGCTCAGTATCACTTCATATTCTTTGAAATGTTGCAGCAGAATGACTTTCATTGTATTTTCAGTTCTTATAAGAGTTAATATTAAGCTAACTAGATGAAGAAAATTTCCTTATCTTATATAAGTGCTTCAGAAAATAATATTCAATACATTATTTGTGGTCTCTTATTTCTGTCTTATTTATATATTCTATGCTCTGGCATTCAAAAACTTAACTCCTGGCTTTCTGGTATGCTTTGTTAAGCAGGAATCCTCTCTTCGACTCACAATTTCATCCTATTTTAGATAAGTAGTACTGTCTTCTAATACTGTCTTGTAGTACTATAAGGTTTATTCTTAAGCCAAAAAAATTTTTTTCTTTATAATCCCCAAACCATCCTTTAATAGAAATAAAAATACATTTTGAGTTCTCACTTCCTTAGTTCACACCCTTCTATAGGATACGGTCCTACACTACTTCTTTCACAAGTGACATTAAAATAGAGCCAGCTAGCATTGTTCACCAGGGGTTTATAGGACCAGTTAAATTTAAATTGTTCTCTCTTCTTCCTCTCTTGCTGCAGTCACAGTCCATTTCCCACCAAGGACCCAAGGACAGAGAACAAGAGAGAGAGGAGAGATCCTTTCAATACTGAAGGAAGTCCTATCACTTCCTGCACTAGAACCCTTCAGGAGTCCCACCATATTTTGAATGAAAATGAAATTCCTTTACCAAGTTGGACAACATGTGAAAAAAGTCCAAACTTCTGTCGAGGTTGGTCCATGCCTCCCTCTCATAGCTCATTGCCCTGCTCTCTCTGTTCAGTCATGCTTCAGCCACACTAACCATCTTTCTCCCCCTTGGACATGCCAGCACATTCCCCTCTCAGCTGGGCAGTTGCTTGTTTCATCGCCATATAACATGTGTCTTCCTATATCTCAGGAACTTTGTCTTGTTGTCATTACATGGCCAGCACCTGTGACTACACCTGGCTCAATAAAGAGTTGCTGATTGACTTATCTTTTGAGAGCCTAATAGAAAAATAGTAATTTTTTTGTAGTAATAACAGCAGAATTCACTGCTTACAGTCTAACATAATAAGCAAATTTATAGAATAATGAAAAATATGTAAAGAACAGAAAATGCTGCAGTTGGGAAAAATTATTAAGATAAATGGAGCAAGAAAATAAAAATTTCAGAATAAAGTGATGAAAACACAAGGATGATTATTCAAAGCTCAGGCAGGATAGCTAATTGAAGTAACATCTGTGATGAAGCATCAAGTTTATGGTTTTGCTCTTGGGACAAAGCAAATTTGCTTAGTATGACAAAGAATCTGCAATTTAAAAACTTGATCCTAATGCAAGAAAAGTATAGACTGCAGTTTGACCAATATGCAAATTTTTAAATCATACCATAACAAAAACATAAGCAAAAGAAGGAAATGTAATAAAGATACCTTTCTGATGCTGTTCTAGATTATAACTTATCACAGTGTGGTCAAAAAGCCCTTTCTCTGGCACCTACATGAACTCTGCAAGGCCTTGGGGACAGGGGTCCCAGACAGAAGCACCTTACACTATTCCTTTCACACGTGAAATAAAAATCCACATACCAGTCATCTGCATAAAAGAACATGGAAGGGAATCTGAGAAATGACAGTTTTCTCCTCTGTGGTTAATTTAAGATTTAGAATCATTGCCACGACTTATTCTGAATAAAATTTAATAACAGTTGAATTTTCTTCTTGACTCCCTCCTGCCCGTAATGTTCCCTCTTTACAGGAGCTGCCAAGCTAGTGTGATAACACCACAGCTTTGCATGCTTAAAGGATTAATAGAAGAGGCAAACACATGGCCAAGGAAAACCCTGACATATGCTCCTGAGTGCTGCTTTTTCATTAGGAATGCACACATTTTCTCAGATTTAGAGGAAGATCTCTGGGGAAATTCTCCAGTGCACTTGAGGGGCTGAGGGAAGGGATGGGAGTGGGGTCACTCACAATGGGTGGATCAGAGTCCAGTCCAGCCCCGTTATTTGGAGTTTGGGTGGGAGCATAATTGCCTATTCTTTCTTCTCCATGTGAATACCTCCCTGCTACTAGTTCTCATTGCATTTGTGAAGTAAAGAACAATTTGTGTGTGTGTGTGTGTGTGTGTGGTACTGGGACTTGAACTCAGGGCCTTCACCTTGAGACACTCCACCAGTCTTTTTTTTGTGAAGGGTTTTTCGAGATAGCGTCTCTCGAACTATTTGCCGGTTGTCTTCGAACCTCCATCCTCCTGATCTCTGCTTCCTGAGTAGCTAGGATTACAGGGGTGAGCCACTGGCACCCAGTTAAAAACAAAAATTTTAACCAAAATTTGAATTGTATTTCCAAATAGCTTTCAAAATAGTTAGAACAACATACAACCAGCCAAGGAAGCTTATCAGTCTCAATAAAATTTTCCTAAGGTTGAGTATTGTTAGATTTTCTTTATTAAATTAATAACTAGAATAACAATTTATTTTCATTTTTATATATACAAGTTAGGAAAATAGTAACTGAAATTACTAAATCCAAAAATCTAGAAGTTGAAAATTTAGTAATAGAAAAATTTAGTAATTACAGGAATGTAGTCAGGCCTGTTGTTTATCATTTATGACTGTTTTGACATAAAACACACTAAAATTCTGTAACTAGAAAAATACCATATTGTTTTTATTACATGTATACACATTGATATTTATATCCACAGCAAAGTTCATCAAATTCTGTCTGTAAAGGGCCAGAGAGTGAATGTTCTAGAACTGGAGGAATACCTGGTCTCTCTGATTGGAAAGCCAAAACAGTCATAAATGAATTATTAACCAACACATTAAAGAATATTCTAAATTACCCAAAATTTCAAGAACATAAAGCCTACCTTTTAAGCAAGGTGGTTAATTCTTAGAGAATATATTTATACATTGCAACAGGCAAGCAAGCAAAGTTACTACTAGTCAAACTTTTCTGTCCCCTCAGTTCAGTGGCCTTGGAGTGACAGCTGTGATAACACCTCAGAGGATCTCCTGGTGGATGTGGGTAATTTAAACTCTGACCCAGAAAGAGAAAAACACCGCTCCTGGCTACAAACCTGCCTATGCAGTTGTTAAAGCAGGTGCTTTCCTTCCACAAAGCGACAATCTTGTTTCCCACCTTTCGGTTTCTTCTTTTGCCTGGGTGACTTCCATTCCAGAAGTGCTTTCTGTTTACTTCTGCCAGCCACACACACTGCTCTGCATGTTGCTTTTATTGACAAACTCACAGCCTGGGTTTCATTGTCACTGAGGTCTGACAACGGCAAGGACAAAACTCACAGATCAGAGTGAAATCCAGAGGGCAGAGCACCACCTCGTAAGCCTCTCAGACTCTCTTCTCACCCCTGAAGCATCAGACAAGTTCAGGACAAGTACAAAGTCCTCGGCTATTCTTACTCTGAAATCTACATAGCTTAGCTTCATGGTTTCAGCCTGAAATAAATAACTTGCAGTAGGGTCAAGTTCCTGGATCTAATGAATCAAAGATAAACTTTATTCTCTAGTAAATTTGAAAGTCAAAATACATCAGAAAGACATTCCTAGCCGAAATACTTTTTAAAAGTCACAATAAGCCTTTGTACTGATTTTAAGGAATACACCACACCAGTGAATTATTAAAATCTAAAGGTTAACTTCAAGATTGGATTGCTCAACTTTCAAGCCTTTTCACAAACTATTATTATCGTACTCAGCATGGAATTTAAATACTCTCACTAAGGTTCATCAAACATTAGAAGCAAAATGCCTTTACAGGCTAGAACTGGATTCTAAGTTAGTGCATTCTTTAAAAATGTTTTACAATCTAGTGAAAAAATGAACCGTATGAGAATATATAAACAAAAAAAGTTTAGTATCCTGACTGTGAGAGAAAATAATACTGCTGAAAGTCACTGTGTGACATAATACTATATGTGCTCAGCTTTAGACAAAGCTCCAAATTAAAGAGACAGTGTTATTGCTTATCCCCAAATGTCAGCTCATAGTTGGAGGAAACCTGCATGTGTAGCATTAAGAGGAAACAGCAGTCCACCACTGCATCCCAGGCAGTCAGGTGGTTTGGTCACATTGGCTTTACTCCATCAGCTTCCTTCCAGGAAGTTGAGATTTGACCAATGAGTTGCACTGTGGATTCTTAGGCCACCATCCTCTCTTTTCTGCGTTTGTGGCCTAACACTTACCCGTACCCTTGGTTCTTTGGTGTCCTCAATGTTACAGCCATAGTAATCTGGAGTTTTATCCAATTCCTGCATGTGTTCTTGTGCTCTGACGCTCTTCTCAGCATGGCAAGACGAGCAGAGAGCTGCATTTCCCATCTCAGGTCTACAGTTTCAGCTGTCACTGAGTCTGTCCTTGCCCTCCACACTCTGTCCTGGGCTCCCAGGGTACACTAATGTGGACAATCCATCAAGATGCTCTGTGGCTCCTCTGCTCAGTTCCCCTACATGCCCCTCACCAGTCCTCCCCATGAGCTGGCTGGCTTGCTGGTGTCACAGAGAACTCAAAACCCCAGCAACTGCAGGCTGCATTCAGTGACCATTTCCAGTTCAGGCACTGCCAGTCTATTTTTACACCTACCAGGCCAGCTATGCATGTCAATGGAACAGGGGGGGAGGCAGACAGCGAGCAGGGGAGGGGGTGGTGGTGTTTTGTTTTTCACCAGGCCTGCAGCCTGCCTCACACATGGACTTCAGCTCCTGCTGTGTAAAATGTCTCTACATACAAGAATGTTTGCATTACTCAATAAATTCCTTTGACTCCTTTGATTTTTCCCCTCTGTGTCTCTACTCACACAGAATCCGTTATGCATTAATAGCATAACGGATAAAAATTATTTCATAACTGCTTAAAAGAAGGGGCACCCACATGGCTCAAATATACTACCTTTTTCATTACCATTTATAGAAAACTAGCCATCCTTTTACATTGAATGCTCATTGGAAAGTTATCAATCAAAATGGTTCATCAGATCCTGGTGTGGAAGTTTTGATTTTTATAAATTATGCACAATTTGTCATTATGCATGAGTGTGACACCTAAGAGCAAACATTTTAATTCATTTATAATCTTGTTAATTTTTAATATTTGAAAGTATTTCCTGCAACCTTATTAAAAATAACCAAGGTGGCTTTCAATACCAGGCAGTCTTTGAAGTAGTCATAGTATAGACTTTTGAAAGAAGGTGCTTCCCACAGGGAGGAACAAAGAAAATACACCATAGATTTAGGAAGCCAATTATGATAGACATCGGCCTTTGTTATGAATGATTATGGACTAAACACTGTCCCCTCCCGTAGGGTGTCCTTTAAAACTCCCGATAATTATTTGAGTATTAGCCCTATCCTTTCCCATTTGTTATTTGTGTGTGTGTATCTTCTCTTTCACATACTTTTAAGTTACTCAGTGTAGATTAAGTAGACTTAGATTTTTGTATCATTCATCCTTATGTTACATATTAATTGTGAAACAGTTAAGAAATGTATTGAATTGAAAGCAATGATTTGAGGAAAAGAGGATGCAGATAATATTTAGAAATTAATCCCAATATGTTTGCTAAACTAAAATTCACCTTTTGAATGTATCATTATTATTTTTATGTATTTATTTAGTTACATTTTATTTTCAGTGCTGGGGATCAAACCCATGGCCTCCCACATGCTGGATAAGCACTTGACCACTGAGACGACCACGGAGATACACTTCCAGTGCTGCCATTACTTTTTTAAAAAAACTTTTTAAATGCTATTTTTTTTCGTAAAATTAAAAATAGCATTCCTGAAATACCATTCTCAGATTTGAGCTCATAAAGCCCAACAAACTCAAATCTGAGAATGGTATTTTGGGATTGTTATTTTCCACAGGCCTCAAGCTGCTTTTTTTTAACCAAACTGGTTTTGAATAACTGCTTTTTATTGTTGTGCTGGGTAGGGGTACATTGTGGCATTTACAAAAGGTCTTACAATATATCAAATATATCATATTTGAATACACCCCCTCCCCACATCAATCTCCTTTATGCCCCATCTCCCAATTCCTGGAATAGTTTCAACAGGTCTCATTTTCCATTTTCACACATGTGTACGCAGTATTTGCACCATAGTCACCCTACTACACCCTTTCCCCACCTCCTCCCACTCCCACTGGTACCAATCCCCCCAAAGCAGGACCTGTTCACCCTCTTGTTCTCCAATTTTGTAAAAGAAAAAAAAATGACATTTTTGTTTGTTTAAGATAGCAGCACAAGGAATTCCCTTGTGACATTTCCATGTATATATGTATTATAAGCTGAATTGGTTCATCTCTATTTTTCTTCCTTTTGCCTTAGTCCCCTTCTTATGGTGGTTTTAGCAGGTTTAAAAATTCTATATTCATTCTTGTATAGAGAGTACATCAACCATATTCACCTTCTGAACTTCCTTCTTTGACCCTTCCCCTCTTGTGTGTGACCTCATGAGCCTGTAATGGCTATAAAGATTCTGTCCCTGATTTCCAGATTCTGAGAGGTGTCACCAGTATTCACTGAAATTGTGTTTCTTTCTCAGCTATACGCAAAGGCATCATTTCCAATCATTTTTTAAAATTACTGGCTGACTGAAGCGATCATATTATGACAATAATGGAGGGGATATATTCTCCAATCATTTTAAAGAGAACCTTAATCTAAACATTTTAAATGTGATGCTTTGAGTGAACGTATGCTCAAAGACAATGCTACGGTATCAGTCACAAGAACAGACTGTTGGCTGAGCCGTGGCAAGCAAACCCTTTCATGTTGCCTGGATAATTCTCCATATATGAAACTAGTGATTCATCACAACAGGGTGATTTATGTTCCACATACTGGAGCCATGTGCTGTAGGAATTAAGCAAGCTACGATGTTTAATGACATGTTTACACGCTCTTCCAGAAGGATGTGACTTTCATTTTTCTGTCTTCTCCAGGCTCTTAGAGTCTAGGGAAGTACTGTATCCCACCAAGGCTTTAACTGGATGCTTCTTCTTAAACATATGAGAACTATTTTATTCAGAATATAAAACAAGATTTTTCCAGCTACTGAAAGAGATGTACTCCCCGCCTTCTAGAATTAATTTTAAACATAAAAATTCAAAATTCCACAGAATCTTTCATATGGAATTATGAACTTAAAACACTAGAAGCAAATTCTACAAACTCGCTTTGACTCCCTACTTCATTCTGGAACTGACATCTGAAACTCTGTACTTACATACATAAAAGGGATATTTGACCACTTCAGATTAGAGAAACGCCCTTCACGCTAGATGAACACGTGCATGAATTGATGCCTGGCATCTCCCCGTCTTGTGAATGCATTACCCATTCTACCCCCATACCTTTGGTTTTGCTTTTCCTTCAGTCAAGAATGCATCCTCCCTTCTCTAAACGTCCAAGTTCTCTGTCTCCTTCAAAGTCCATCTTTTAATTCTCTTTCCCCTGAAAGTTTGCATCATAACTATGTTAGTCCCTTAGTTAGTTCTAATATCTTTTTGAATAAGGTTGGGACTATTATCAGCTCTTACTCTTTTTACAAGATAGGCCAGGTGTCTCTCACTGACCTCTTCATAAACTCAACTAAATGTTTGTAAAGTATAAATGAATAAAATGCAGCCACAGACACACAACACATACTACTAATATTTAACTGGATACACTGACCTAAGCTTCTGGGTTTTTGCACATCAACAGTAACAGATTTAATAATTTTAAACATCTTTAAGCATGACAAAATTTTAATTTCATTTACTGACTGACAATAAACACCCCTTTAGTGTTTGAAAACACATGAACACTGGGGTGAATTTTCCTAGAAAAAAAACTATAGGGCTTTCTAAGAAAGAAAGGAGAGAGAGACAGACAAAGAGAATGAGAGAGGAAGGAACAAAGGGAGGGAAGAGAGAAAACAGAGTACAAACCAAAGTAGCATGTTGACAACTCTTGGAAGTTACTTTTTCTAAAATTAGTAGCTATTAGTCTTCTTCTCCCTCCCCCTTCTCCTTTCTTCATCTCAGGGAAATTTTTTCATCCTTTTTCCAATAAAGAAACTTTCTGCATATTAAATGTAATATCTATACTCCTATCATTAGGGCTGCCAAAATATTTAACATTGTGGTCCCAAATTCCACTGCTGAAGCTCAGTGGTTAATAAGAACTGGCAAGGAAGAGACAAATAAAAACCCTGGTGCTCCAGTAACAGGCTGAAATTTCCTATTTTCTGACTAAACCATTTTAAATGATCAACCCAGAATATATCGATAGCTGTGAAAATAAAATTTCCAATGAACAACTTCCTCTTTGGTGTCTCTCCAAACTTTGCCAATGATCCAGTGGTGTCTAATCAAATACAAAAGTGTGAGGGGTCTGCAGAAGAGGCCATTACTTCAGAAATTAAAACTTTATTTCTAGTATTACCTTCTGGTGTTTAACATTAAGAAGCAGACAGGTTTGTCACAAAAGCTTGGGTGATATGATAATCTATATAAATATAATCTATATAAATATATAATCTATATAAATAGATAGATAATCTATATAAATATAATAACATTTTGCCAAGTTGAAGCCAAAGTTAACAAATGCTATGCAGCACTCCTCTCCTAAAAATATGACCGGAGAGGGTTGGGATCTCTATGGACATCTGACAAGGGATATGCTTTTTGCAAGGGCAGAACAATGTCACCGCTGTTTCTCAAAAATGCTTCCAAGTCGTTAGGGCAAATTACTCAGAAAGCAAATATTTGCAGGTTTGACCACACAGAGTAGGATATGTGAACTTGATACATGACTTAGAAAGTAAAATTCAAAGTCCTTGTGATGTGACCTATTTGCCATATCTTCTTAAGTTCCCAGGCATTTTACTGCTATTATTCCAGTAGTATTACTGTTTCAAATCTTCACAAGAGAAAAGCGATTAAGGCTGAGAAAAAAGGCTGGCTTCTCAGCTGCGATCTTCTGAAAGTCACTGTTCAAGTCCCAAAAGAAGCAAATCTGAAAGCCATCACTGCTGTTCTGAATTTCACCCTTTAGGTAAGAAGTTATGATTTCAGAATCATCAGGAAATTAACACCTCAGAGGAGAAATAGCAATCTTGGATCTATAATTTAACCTACAGGATTAGAGCAGGACTACTGAAGGAGACTAGAAAAGATTTCTTAGTGAGGCTTTACTGATCCTAGGATTTCGCTCTACCACTAATTTGCCTGTGTAGACTTGTATAGTGTTTATCAAATCTAGGCTTCAATTTTCTCTTTTTTAAAATAAAGGAGTTAGACTAGGTAATTGTAGATTCCTTCCAGTTCTGAGTCCTTTTAGCTTCTCAGACACAGAACTTACATTTGAACATCTACCTAACATGGAGCAGGAGTTGAAGCTGACCAACCATCTATTCAGACCATTTGCATAGGGAAGAAAAGGAGTAAGAATGACTTTGTGCCTGTCATCCCACCGCAAGACACTGAGAGTGGGAGGATCCAGACCAGACTGGGCAAAAAGTTCCTGAGACC